GGACTTCCATGGGAAGCTAAGTCGTATTCTTCTGTGGACTTGGATGCCCTTGACTATAGGCGGAAGGCGTTTGGACCCCTTTCCTTTAACTGTTAAGTCCTGAGCTCCCAGGGACCCCCCACAACCTCAATGGAGAACATGCCATAATGTGTTTCTTCAAGGAGTTTAGGGTCATATAAGCAAGACAGGGCCATAAGACATAATAATATGGACTTTATATCCATTTATCCACTTGTCCGTCCGTCCATCCATCCACCCATCCACCCACGTATCTATCCAATGCACCTACTCATGCATGCACCTACCCTTCCATCCTCCGATCCCACGATTATTAAGCATCTAGTACAACCCAGGGTCTATTCTGGGTAGTAGGGACTGAACACCGAACAAGTCAGCCACAGCCTCTCTCCCACAGATCCTGACCCTGGCTGGGGAAGAGAGGAAATGAGTCAATATATAAAGCAGGTGTGAGACAGCGCCTTGCAGGGGAGAGTAACCCGTGTGGAAAAGACTCACAAAGCTCACGAAAAAGCCAAGCCTGAGCTAAAGGTGCTGATGGGGGCGCTGTGTGGAAGGGGGGGGTTGTGGGGACCACGACACTGCGGGCTGACTGCGGCGCGGGTGCACGGGCCCTGAGGCAAGCATACATACGCTTGGCACATCTTCAGAAGCAGAGAGGCCGTGTGAGTGGGTGGGCTGGGATGCCGAAGGAAGGGATTTTAGGGGATGGTGGAGCTCCAGTCTGGACAGAGTGGCCAAGCTATGCAGCAACCGTGAAGGTGAAAGGTCAACCGGACCAGATTTGCTGAGGGCATGGACTTGGAGTACAAGAGGAAGTGGTGGTGGAAGTGTGTGTGTGTGTGTGTGTGTGTGTGTGTGTGTGTGTGTGTGTGTGTGTGCGCGCGCGCGCGCGCGCGGGGAGAGGGGAGGGGCGGGGGGCGGGGGCGACGATGCCCCCAGGGCTTTGGGCCTGGGGACCTGGGATGGTAGTGTGGCATTAAGAGAGTCTGAAGCTGGACCTGGATGAGGGATGGTTGCATCCCAGGAAGCTGTGGCTGAGCGGGAGGCCATGGCGGTTGAACCATGTGCTGTGCTTGGCAGAGCAGCATGGGACAAAGCCCTGAGGAAGCGCAGCCGCACGCCACGCGGCTGCCAGGTGGGAACCGAGGATGGGGTCCTTCCAGACCTGGACTCTTTCGCTAGGACCTGTGTCAGACAGGCCTGCTGGCTGTGTCATTTGGGACAAATGATGCAATGGCTCAAGGCCTTAGTTTCTCTAGTTACAAAGCGGGCCCTTGCCTACAGCCTAACGCTTGGAGCTCCTTTGCAAATATGATTTAGGACTGTAGTTGTGTTCCACATTCAGGCTCCAGACCATGTAGAGAAACAAGCACACAAGAGTGTGAGCCACTCCGTGGCTCCTGTTGCAGCCCCCTGAAACCTGCTGGGGCTCCTAAGTGATGCCTGGGGCCGGTCCAGCTCCTTCCCCTCTCTTCACCTCGGATAACCCTTCTGTCCAGGGTCCCTCCAAGGTTTCCTTTTCACCGTGACCTCCCCCTGCTCCAGCTCTGGCCTGAAACAAATCTGTGAGCTTTTAAAAAGGTCTCTTTTCCTTTAAGGGTCACATTCGGGTTGTTGAGAAAAGCAGGGTCACGTGAGGAACTGGTCTGAGGAGATCACTAGCACACTTTCCTTCCTGGTTCCTGAAATCAATACCTTTTCCCTCTGTGCTGACTGATGGGCAGGACGGAGAGGGGAACTCCAGCCCCGGGTAGGATGGGGGGAGGGGACGGGTTTCCTGGGTAGGAGAAGGCACAAAAGGGGGCTGCCTGGGCAATTAGTAAATTGCTCCTTCTCTTTGTTCCAAATGCAAACGAAAATCATGGCTCAAGCAGAAATAAGGAGATGTTCAGGCACACATGACTGGAATATTGTGGTTCAGGTTAGGGCACAGTTCACCCCAGGAAAATAAACAACCTCAGTTAATCAGTCTCTCACAGAGTGTCACACACACTCAGGAAACACACATAGCAAAGGGGTACATGCCAGTTGGCATCATCAAAGCAGTGTTCCCCCCCAAATTAAGGAGTAAGACCTCAGTGGATGTCCGGTGTGTAGCCGACTGCTGCTCTAGCGGCTGGACTCTGGGGCTACTGAGGTGAATTCCTGTTTCCTAGTTCATCTATCCACTTCCTTTCTTAAACTGATGTTTGCTAGAGGGCACTGGAAACCTTTGGGTCCCAGATCTGCCATTACTAGCGGTAATTGACCTGTCTGGGCTCTGTCCTTCTGGGAACACCCAGCAATCCTGCCTAGCCTCTGCTGGCCTGTCCTTGATGGCTTCTCCTGGGCAAATGCCCTGGCACCCCAATTTGTCTGGCTCAGTCAACAGTGACATGCCCTGATGGTGACCCTGTCTTGGCAAAAACATGATAATAATAATAATAATAATAATAATAATAATAATAATAATAGAGATTCCAGCAGTTCTAGTGACTTCTCAGACTACTCAATAGGCTGTGACTGAAGCCCACACATGGACGGGTCAATAGTGAGCCAGACAGCATGATAAGCACTGCTTAGATGCATATATTTGGCCCCTTGTTCAAAGCTAGTTTGCGCTACAGGACCAAAAAAAAAAAAAAAATGGTGTGGATAAAATTCCTTCCCAAAGGGAGACATAAACAACATCTACTCTCCTCCCTAGGTCCCAGTGAATCGATTGACTACAGGGGTGTGGGTGTTTCGGCAAAATATTGTACCAGAAACTCCTTACCCTTCCCTGTAACTGCATAGATGGGTCCGGTCTTCCTAGTCTTCCATGGCCTAATTCACCCTAGGCCCTTCCAGGATCCATGTGCAGTTAGGGCAGTGGTGGAGCTGCAGGGTACTCGGTGAAGGTCCTATGTATGACCCTCCCAACCTTCATGAAAGTGTCAATAAGCCCAGCTGAGTTAATCATTTTGCAAGGGGGATGCACTTGGGTAGGTTGCTGCCTCCCTTTGTTCCTCTTTCCAATGCGGTCACTGAATAAATCTCCTGTTTTTCTTCTTCTTCTTTCTACTATCAAGTTGGCTCTTTTAATTGGTCAATTGAAGGCAGGCGGCCAAACCTAGCTTGGAGCACACACAGGCTGTGACTTCCCCTTGAGTTCTCCTGGCTTCACAAGAAGCCAGTGGCTACGGCTTCCAGCAGAGGGCGCCCTTGCCCCACGTTCCTGCCATGGGCTCATTGCCAGGGCTTCTCTGGACATAGTTTGTCCAACTTCGCAAGGCATTTCCTGTGATTGCTCCCATTCCTATACCCTCTCCAAGTCTCTCTTCCTTCCCTCTTGTCGGGCTGGCATCAAGTCTCCAATAAATCCCGAGCATTTATGAAAGTTTGCCTTGGGCTCTCTCTGTTCGCCAGACTTGAGATCGCTGTGTGACTTTGAGCCACTTCAGTGATTTCTCTGTGCTTGGGCTCCCCCTCCTCTGCCCGCACCGCTGAAGGTGCCTCACTCCCCTACGGGGTTGTGGCAGTGAAGAAATCACCCGGTTTGGCACACCGCCAATTTCAGTCGTATCATCCTTACCATGGAACTCACGGTCCCCGTTGTAGGTTTCTAGTCTCTTGGATAAATATACTCCAAAGCGGACTTAGAAGGAAACCTGTAGACCATTTTTATAGGAGTATGAGAGAAGCAACCAGGGCAAGCAGGCTGCCTGCCTGGAGGAGGGGGGTGGAAGGGAGAGTCAGGGCTGGACAGAGCCCAGGAAAGCAGGTACGGAGAGGGGGTGTGCCTGAGCATCGGTTTGGGGGCACAGGCTTCCAGATAGGAGCCCAGCCAGTGGACAGGCTCATCCCATCCGTAAGGGCCCCTGAGCCTCAGCATGGTGGGACAGTTTGGGTTATATGAGCACCCATCTCAATTTTATTCTGAGCACAGTCTCACTTAGCCATGGTTTGCATTGAATTCTCTTAGAAGACAAGGATAACCTTGAACTTCTGACCCCACTGTCTCCGACCCAGGAACATCAGGTTGACCTTGAACTCAGAGATCTGCCTGCCTCTGCCTCCCGAGTGCTGGGCTTAAAGGCGAGCACCACGCCACCATGCCAGGCACATAAAACATTTTTTTTTATAATAACACACAAATTCCATCTAAAAGCCCTGCTTTCATCCTGCAAACCAACCATTCAAACTGCCTGTGTCCATCCTTACTTCAGAAGTGTCAAAATGGACAGGATTGGGTGAGCTGTACACACACACACACACACACACACACACACACACACACACTCATTCACATCGACAAACATCGACAATTTGAGGCAGAGGATGCAGGAGAGAGGCAGACAGATCTGAAGCCACACTGCTGCGTGGGTCCCTGTCTCTTTTCCTGAAGTGGGGCTGGTTACAATAAAGGCACTAACCACGTCCCATTACTCGTATTGGGCCATCTCCCCTGGGAGCGCGTCATAAATATGATTCAATTTTCTCGTGCAATGTTTCTCCCTTGTGCTGGCGATGTCCCATGAGAACGTGGATCCTGCCAGCTGCCTCAGAGCAGAGTCCCCAGAGACCAGCATAGAAAAGGTACTTAGGGGAGAGAGAGAGAGAGAGAGAGCTGGCTTGTGGCAGGGTATACCACGTTTGCAGAATATTAGAGTTTAGTTTCCAACACCCTATAGGAAGGAATGTCAGGCAACCTCCTTCAACTCCAGTTCCCGGGTAGCTGTCGCCCTCTCTGGCCTCCGCCGGCACCTGCACTTACATGAACATATACGCATAAGTAATAATTTTAAAAAAATCTTTCTTTTAAAGAGTAGGTAAAGGGCAAAAGCAAACTGTGGTAGATACGGTCAGTGAACAAGTCAGCCGACCAGGAACGCTCACTTGCAAAGCGTCTGGCGTCTGGCGGGCAGAGCCCTGCCACCCCCACCACCAGGGACAGTAGGGCTTCAGGTGGTGGCTGGCGCAACGCCGCGTCTCTCCAGCAGGGGGCGCGCCCCGCGCAGTCAGTCCCGCGGCTCCGGGGCCCGCGCTCCACCCCTCGCTGCTGTGCGCAGGCGCCGCCGGGCGCGGTTGCCACGGCGACGGGGCGCTTCCCGCCGGAGCCCCGCCCCCAGTGGCGAGGCTGCGCGCGCCGCGGCAGGTGCGGGCGGGCAGGTGCGGCGCGGCGAGCCACTGCGGTAGGTGCGCGGAGGGCGCGGGGGCGCGCGGGGGCGCCCACTCCTGCCCGCGGGGCCGCGTGGAAAGTTGGCAAAGTTGGCGGAGGGCGAAGCGGGGAGCCGGGGGGAGCCGCGTGCGGAGTCCCCGCTGCGGACTCGGGGATCCCGTCGCATCTGCGGCCGGGGGATGACGGCGGGGGACGCTTGGAGCTGGCCCCGCTCCCCCACGCGCGTCCGCGGCTCGCGCGTGGCTCGCAGTCGCGCCGTGCAGGCCCGGGCTGCCCTTCCTCGGGCCGGGGAGCCGTGGCTTTTGCTTTGGGAGGGAGGGGCGGGCGCCTGTTGCAGTAGAGCTGTCCCCGGAGGCCCTGCGGCGGGCGCTGGGCCTGAGCCCCGTCCCGGGGTCGCGGCCTCCCGGGTGGCGCGCGCGCGCACTGCCCGGTCCGCGGTGACAAAGATGAGTAACTTGGACTTTCTTCCACCGAGGCGAGTTGCGGCTCCGAGGCCGCGCACGGAGAAGCGCTGGGGCTGGTTAATCAGTAACCCGGACTTAGGTGGAGGCTGCGAGCCGCCAACTTTCTCCCTGCTACCCCGCAGGGCGGGCGTGCGGCCAGGCTGGCCTCTGCAGACACCCGTGTCGTGGTGGGTTCCGGGGAGTCGCTTTAAAGGGATCGAGGACCCGGCAGGAGTGCGCTTAGACCCTAGAAGTGTAGAGCCTGGACGCATGTTCTTGGCCTCCCGCTGTGTGTGTGTGTGTGTGTGTGTAGTCACAGGGGTACACGGGAGTCTTAGTGTGTATGTTCCCACGGTCACAGAGGTACATGGGAGTCCCAGGGAGTCAGTGTGAACTCTTTAGCCACAGTCAGCCACCAAAGTCTTTGTTGATTTGAGATGTTGGAGGTGCAGCCCTCATCCCAGACTCCCGTCCCCGGTGGCTGTTAGTATTTCGGCCTGCCTGAGCTGGGGTGGGAGAGGGATGGGGCTACGGGGGGGGGGGAGAGAAGTGCTTCCCTGGTCATGTGAGTGACCCCTCTTAGCAGCACCACAGTTTACCAAGACACAGGAAGAGCTCCGGATGTTGCTCTGCATTCACTGAACTAATGAATGGTTGCAGACACTGTGTCGAGGACCAGGCTCAAAGTCACATCCTGAAGGGGTGAATGCTTTGTCTGTCTGTGGGGATGGTGGGGGAGGGGCCATGGCCTAGGGTAAGAGGAAAGGTGCTGGGAACCCACCTCATGCCCCTTTACCCACTGAGGCATTTCACAGCCCCCTATAGTCTGATGGGGTCTGCTCTGCCGGGGTTGGGGCTTGGGGAGTGTCAGGGATGGGTCTGACTGTGTGAGCTCAGGGTGTGAGTGTAGGAGGCCTAGGAGGATTGTCATGATAGCCTGTCATCAGAAGTGTTCCGGGTGGATGGTGCCTTGCTGAACCTGGCTCATGTATGCGTGCGCCTGTGCGTGTCTCTGTGTGTGTGTGTGTGTGTGTGCCTGTGTGTGTGTGCCTGTGTGTGTGTGTGCCTGTGTGTGTGTGTGTGCCTGTGTGTGTGTGCCTGCGTGTGTGCGCACTCTGTGTGCCTGTGTGTGCGTGTGCGCACGCTCATCAGTGTTCAAAGGTGACACTTGGGCTGAGCCTTGAAGGCTGAGTAGGAGGTTGGACAGTGGCAAGGGTGGATAAGGCCTAACTCCTGGTCCTGCCCAGAGTATGGGAGTGTTGAGTGAATAAAAGACCTTTACACCCCAGCGAGCGCCCTCTCCATTGGAAGGCTTGGGACTAGGGTTTCAGATCCCTGGCTGGAGGTGCACACTCCTACCCGGACTCCCTTCATATTTCGGGAGCCGCTACATCTCTCAGAACCTTGATGCGTGTTTGGAGACAGTGAGGTAAAATTGCAGAGAGGGACCAGAGGTAAACCAAGGGGGGCTCTTGGGAGGAGGTGGGAGAGGACGGCCAGGCCACATGGGAGGGACAAGAAGAAAGTAGGAAAAGCCAGAGGTACGAACTGATGTACCCCGGTGCATGTCAGGGCTGAGTCCTTGCACACTCTCTCTGTCCTCTGTGACAGTTGGTCAGAGGCAGTGGTGACCCCACCCCCACCCCGTGAGAAATGACAGCTTGGACCAACATGCAGCTGGGGTGGAGGGAATTCTAAAGGGAGAGCTGGCTGCCTGATGCCAGGCTCCTTCCAATCCCATGTGTCCCCATGAGGCTAGGTGTGGCTGCCCACTGTCCACACCCTGGCTGCTGGCTTGGGTAAGGGGTCACTGGGTGGAGGACTGGACACACGGATCACTTTTATTCCACGAGACAAATACCTCATGGAGCCTCTTGGGCAGGAGAGAACTCGGGATCTCCTGTCTCCAGGAATCCTCTAGTCAGCTTGTGGGAGAAAGGTCACAGGACCCGAATCAGGAAGCAATTATGGACTTGACTTTGGGGCTGGAGTTATCATTGCCCTTCTGCTAATTGTGCAGTTAAGCGACCTTTGAAATGTTTGTAGCCGTATCTCCACTGGGGATAGAGATGTTTCCAAAGTGGTATCTTTGACTGCTTACACCTGGATCAGCTGCAGGGAACGCACATCCGGACGTAGGGTGCCGCAAGTTATGAAAAAATATAGTGTCGACGTCGTAAAGTGCGTGGACCACAGATGCCCTTGGCTGGATGGTTCAGAGAGCCACACTTCAGCCCCTCCTGGTCCTCCCATACACACAAACTCTAATTCCTCCTCAGTCTCTGTCACATCTTGCCAATTATGAATCCTACTCTCGGATCTGCTCTGGAGCCGGACGGGTAGGATTAAGTCCTGGCTTTGCTGCTTTCTCTGCTGTGTGACTGCAGTCGGATGTGTTAAACTCTCTGAGCCCATTTCCTACTTTATGAGTGAGGAAAATGCTGGGACTTATCTCTGAGAGTAGCTGCAAGGATCAAGAAGGGCTGGGCAGGTGTGTGTTGGTCCTAACTGGCAGAGAAGATGCTTAGTAAATAGGCGGGGGGAGGGGGGGGAACTGATTATAAAAAAATAGCAACAACATAGAAGACCCTCACCTATAAATTAAAAACACCTCTGGTGACTTCCCGTTTGAGAAAGTGTGCGTGGAGGTGTGTTGGTTACCGGCCAAGTGAACAGGCCCCTGCTGTTGGGCGGTTGTTACTGAATGTTTGGCTTTCATTTTGCAGCCCCTCCTCTCCTGTTGGTGCATCCGGGGAGCAGGGAAGAGCATGAGATGCAAAGCTTGAGGTGATGGCCTGCCTGCCCAGGTCCCCTGAGCATGTCTGTGGGAGTGAAGCTGTCTGAACTTCACGGAGGCAGAGCTGGTGGCTTTATCCGGGGTGTCCCGGCTGTATCCTGCAGCCCACAGTTAATGGGGCTGGAACCGTAGGCTGGCTGGAGTTCGGCAGTCTGTGGGTTTGAGTCCAGCCTTCCAGGGATTGTGTCTTGGGAGACATCTGCCAGTGAGCGCTCTAGCCTTTCTGGAAGTGTGTGGCTTCTGTAGTGGTTGACTTTTCCTGTGATCGCACTGAGTAACAAACATTTCCTGAATCACAGTGACTTTTAAACGTGGGCGTGTTTTGCACTAGGGTCAGTGAGTGGTTTGGCTGATTTATCTTTGGGCAGATCCCCTGGCTGACAGTCGTAGCCAGTGGGGTGTGTTCTTCAGGGGGTAGAATGCAGGTGTGCAGGGGTGAGACTGCAGGTGTGCAGGGGTGGACTGCAGGTGTGCAGGGGTGAGACAGCAGGTGTGCAGGGGTGGACTGCAGGTGTGCAGAGGTGAGACTGAAGGTGTGCAGGGGTGGACAGCAGGTGTGCAGGGGTGGACTGCAGGTGCCGGAGTGAGACAGCAGGTGTGCAGGGGTGAGACAGCAGGTGTGTAGGGGTGGACTGCAGGTGTGCAGGGGTGAGACAGCAGGAGTGCAGGGGTTAAGAATCAGGTGTGCAGGGGTGAGACAGCAGGTGTGCAGGTGTGCAGGGGTGGTCTGCAGGTGTGCAGAGGTGAGACAGCAGGTGTGCAGGGGTGGACAGCAGGTGTGCAGAGCGAGACAGCAGGTGTGCAGGGGTGGACAGCAGGTGTGCAGGGGTGGACAGCAGGTGTTCAGGGGTGGACTGCAGGTGTGCAGGGCTGAGACAGCAGGTGTGCAGGGGGTAGACTGCAGGTGTGCAGGGGTGGACTGCAGGTGTGCAGGGGTGGACTGCAGGTGTGCAGGGCTAGACTGCAGGTGTGCAGGGGTGGACTGCAGGTGCAGGAGTGGGACAGCAGGTGTGCAGGAGGTTGGATGACAGGTGTGCAGGGGTGGAGAGTGCAGCTGTGAAGGGCCTCAGGAGGAATCTCAGGAGGAAGTGAGGTGGCCTTGCCTCTGTCCTTATTCTGCAAGTCACCACAAGTCACAGGAACTTACCATCCCCCAAATCATTGGGCTCCCTCAAGGAGGCTGAGCAAGTCTTTGCTGACAGCCTCAAGGGGCTGCAGAGAGGGTAGGAGTCAGCCCATGATCTGTGTGGGATCAGTGGACTCAGAACTCGGCTGTGGGGAAGGTGGAACATGAATTGTGAACCAGAAACAGCCTCAGTTTCCTTGTCTGGAAAACAGGACTTGTGGCCTCTGGCCCCCTGCTGTGAGCTGGTGGACCCAGGTATGGTCCGTTTTGTTTATTTGCCTTCTGAGATAGTTTCTTTACATAGTCAAGGCTGGCCCTGAACATCTAACCCTCCTGCCTCAGCCTCCCAAATGCTGGGGTCACATCTTTGCGTACCTACCTACCCCCCAGCCTCACTTCTGTAAAGGGCTGCGGTGTGCATGGCAGGAAGCAGGTGGCTGTGAGGATCTTCCTGGGTCCGAGGGGTTTAGCACAGGATGAGAGTACAGTAGGGGTTTGGAGAGACTGCCCAGGTTCGAATCCCAGCTCTGCCACTGGGTGTCTTTGTGGCTCTGGGCTGGCCACTGACCCTCTCTGGATGTCTGTTTCCCCACCCATGAAATGTTAGTCACTGCAGTGCCTGTTCAGGTCTGTGAGCATTGTTGTGCTGCTAGAGAGCACCTTCAAGGACTTTGCCTGAGCTCTGGCTTGCAGTGATTTTTGTTTTAGATTTTGTCTGGTAGTGCTGGCAATGGACTGTAGGGCTTCCAGCGCGGTAGGCAAACCCTCTACCAATACGCTTCATCTCCACTCTGCTACTTAAAAAGTTACTTTGAGACTGGCTCTCACTGAATGAGTGTCAGTCTGCCCTTGAACTCATCATTCCTGTGTCTCAGCCCCCAGGTATCTGGAATCACAGGCTGTGATGCCAGGCCACGCAGGGTGGTTATTGTTGGCTGTGGTAGTCTAGGGAGGTCCAGAGAGGTTGCTTGACTTCCAGGGGGCCACCAGCACCCTTGAGGACAGAAGTGGCTTCTGGCCCTGCTGCCCCGAGATTTCACGGTTTTTCTCTATCCAATGTAGGACATATTAGGAGGGACAAAGCCTCATTACCAACCACTCAGCCTTCAGATCTGTCAGGGAATTGCAACGAGAAATTGCCGTATTGTCCTATCCTGGGGGCTTGCATGTTTCTGGGGACCCCATTGGCCACGAGTGTGGGGAGTGTGCTGAGAGTCTGGGTGAGCGTCATAGTCCAGCTGGGAGGATGAGTCTAATGTGGGCTTGCTGTGTGACCCTAGCAGCTGGCTTCCCTTCCTCCCTGTGGGTCCTTGCAGCCTGACTCCAGCTCCTGCCGCCTCTGGTCTTCC